AGGTACTCTGTGTTATCATGAGTCTTTACTCTCCAAAAACCGGAGGAAGAATCGAAAGCTGCGTTCTGGACGTTCTTGTTGAACCTTGGGACGATGCGGAAGTGGGAAGCGTAGGACTCAAGGTAGGCCAAAAACTCGTTTTTGGAAGGGTATTTTGGGAAATATTCGGGGAAATCCAAGAGGGGTAACCGGCAAAAGTGCTTTGGGAGATGGAGTTTGAGTCGGTCGTAGGTTTTTGATTTCCATAGAGATGCTATTGAGTCCGACCGTTCTAGGATCAAAGAAGGGACTCCACGGCTCGAGAGACATGCTGAAGTGGCAAGACCGGAAGGGCCAGCTCCGATGATGATGGGACCGTGTACGAGGATGATATGCTTGCTCTGGTCGGTTTTGTTGTGTGGATGAGCCTCCATTTTTGATGGATGATGGATTGGAAAATGTTTTTTAAGAGTGGAGAGACTAAAGAGTGAGAGATATGTAGTATTACTTTTGGAGAAAATGTTCTTTTGTGTGTGAGGGAAAGAATTGGAATTTATAGAAGGGGTTTTCATTTGTGGTTTGGGTTTGTGGGACCTTCTAAGATTCTGTATGACGTAAGTTTTTCTTTACAAACATAGTACATCTGTTTTTTTTTATTGTTATATTTAGACGGTAAAACAAAAATTATATTCTTATTTTCTTAGACTATCTCCATTTCTATATCTACATTTTTTTATATACTCTATTTAAAACAAAAATCTTTTTTATTCTATATCTTTTTAACTTTAAAATAAAATCTCTACTTTTTTTTATATATTTCTATTTTCAATTTACATTAGATCTCTATTTTAGAAATTGGAAATAAAATAGAGCTGGAGTAAAACTTAACTCTAAAATAGAGTTATTTTATTTTAAAAAACAAATACAAAAATATGTTGGAGATGTATAGTGACGGCATATTAGCGGAATAATCAAAAAGAGCTAGATTGATAACCTAAATAATGGTTTACCATTTCATAATCGTACATTGCACTATGATTAAAAAAAAGAAAAAAACTGTACATGTAAGTAACTTATGAAACACTAAACAGTCTAAACTACCAAAATGTTGTCATTCATATCAATTAGAAATTTTATTTTCTATATAGAAACTACAATATGGTATATATGGTATAATTCGATAAAGATTTGTGTCCTAATATCTCTTACAAAGATTGGAAGTATCAAAATTTCTAATATCTGAAACATTCCTGTTTACCCAAAAAAAATGAATCCTGTTGGAAGAAAAAATGATGAATGCTGATTTAAAATTATGTCAGAAAAAAGGTTTTTCAGAATACCATGAATAATACTAGTAGTAAAATACGATTATAAGAGATCATCAAAGTAAAATCTTAAATAAAAGTTTAGTTATCTCAAGTTCGTATGATTGATCTAGGAAGCCTAGATATAGTATTTTTTAAATTATAGTGTAAAACTTGGAAAATGTAAAAAATCAAGAGATTGAATGGATAAGAGAAAGAGTGGTGAAAGAGGCATTGGAATAGTAAAATGGCAGTCTAAAAACGACAGGGTAATAAATGGAAAACGTGAAGGTTAAGTAAATTATTCGCTCTTCTTCCCATTTGATTTTGGAGAACGAATCGTCAAAACATAAAAAAGAAAACAAGAGAATCAACCGATTAATTGCCTGGATATTTTAAAAACTATCAGTATCTAGTACTAGTTTATGAGTTGGATTTTGTGCTTTTGTTAGCAAACATTCATTTACAAGTTACAACAAAACGAAAGAAAGAAAGAAAGTAGCCGAAATTTATTTTAAACAGAAGTAGATTAGTGGTAAAGACGTAAAGTTACTCAAAAAATCAATTCATAACAAATTTCAGACGTTTCCAACTCAAAAATAATTGTTACTAAATGAATTGTGTTACATCCTCATATATTCGTTATATATGTGTTATTTTAAATCAAAAAATATAAAAGAAAATTGATTTTTTGAGATTATGACTTTTACCAGCCCATAATAGATAATCTATCATAATGTGTAATATGGTGCTTCAGCTTTGTGATTCACATTGTTATTGGGAAGTGATATGGCAGTTTGATATCCACACAATATATAGTAGAGAGTTTGCTTGTACGGTTGTACCCAATCTCTTCTACTAATATATAACACTCTATAACAGATAACTTTTTTTAGTTAGTAAAAAAACATTTATACAAAATCAACAGGAGGCACAACCAATATCTTTTGTATCCTCTATATATATATATATATATATATATATATATATATATATATTTGAATATTAGTCCTCTGAAGCAGAAACGTGTATAAGTATAATTTACAAGGAAATATGGGTTAAAAATTTATATCATTTTGATGTAATTAAATGATTTTCATATACAAATATATATATATATATATCAAACTACAATTTGATTACGAAGTGTATGAACGTGCGCCGAAATTAGCTAAAGGTTTGTACAAGAAAGCAAGCATAATTCATTCACATGCATCCTAAAGAAGCTTTATAGCCTTACAAGAACTATTTCAATAAGATACTAAATATATAGCGTGATCATTTTTTGTAAGATGATAAACTGGATAAGTTTTAGAAGTTTGGATTAATTCTTCCGCATAAACTGATGACTCGTGTGATACATTTGGCCACTATAGAATACTTGAATAGCATTATTTCTTGAATTGATTAATTGAAATGTTTTCATATTACGAAATTAAATCGGAAGATTTTACGGTCATCTAATTTGACCTTAGAAAAATTAGAGAACGTCAATGTATAGTTAGCAAAAATAAATTCATACAACATATTTCTTCCATTATACTATAATATATATAAAACAATTGTTGCAAAATGATGTGTATTATATATATGTAAAATTTGTCTAAAATCTTTTGGTTTATCCGAATTTGTTAGAAAATTATAAAAAATCATATTTATATTATGATAGACAAAATTTGACAAAGTGGAGTATATGTTAACATTTGAAAATTTTAAGTGTTGCATAAAAAACAAACAAAGTGTGGAAGTGTAAAACATTTAACACTGTTTGAATATATGAATCTAACACTTGGCATCCAAACTTTCTAAGGGAATCTAGGGGTCGTCGGGTCTGAGAGTAAATGGCATGATTAAAGAAGAGCTATTATTGACTAATTAAGGACTTGTTAAAATAATTAGTTATGGGAAAACAAAGCTTGTTGGTAGGTTGTAATGATGAAAGATATTTAAGGGTATAAAAAATAATTGAAAGTACAATTATAATCATTGATTCCCAGTTCCCGGAATCCCCCCTCCCCCGACTTTCGTTGAAAAGGAGCGCCATGCATGTGTTTCTACCTTAAATATATAGATTCATCTTGCAAATGTTAACTTATTCCAATTTCATTGTGTGATAGTATTAAATTAAGGATGGAACACGAACACACAAAACTTGAAATGTAAATGTCTTTTAGCAAGAAAAAAATATAACTTCAAATGTAAATTCTCGTTGGATTGTCTTTTCTGTACTTAAAAAATGTGCTTATAGGGGTTGTCTATGTAATGGTATGGACTTTTTTTTTTTTAATTGTTTTAGCTAATTCTTCAGAAAATAAAAAAAAAAATTTGATACAAGCAATTTAAACCTTTGCATAAAATGATTATTTTGGCTAAGATGATGTATTTTCAATTGACTAAGGTGAATAAAATAGGTCTGGTTAAGATTTTAGATTAATAATGAACAGCACGGTGGATAGGTTTCTCGGCTTCTGACTTTTCATCTATTTCTCGACTTTCTTTGTATTTTTATATGATGCGCCTAATTAGCTGCGCATGCATGCTTTAAGATTAAGTATTTGATACTGGAGAAAAACAATTTTTTCACACCTTTTAGAGCCATCGCCAAAAGGGTCGGTTATAAAAACAATTTAATCACGATGCTAAAAAAGAAAAATAACCATAATTTTTGGCTTCTCTGTACTATAACAAAGCTAATTAAGGTGCACTCATCATTATTCATGCTAAAAATACTTTAGATTCTGAAAATTTATGTCAAAACTTTATTCAGAAAATTGGATGGCTAATTCAGTTTGTGATAAAGAACTGATAAAGAGTAGTTTGATATTTTTTTTCCATTTTCTACGGCTCTAATTTACTTAATTTTTAGACGAAACATATCGTTTTTAATGTGATTATAAAAAAAAATTATTGACAAATTATTTACATAATCGCATTAAAATACTTTATTCCGCTATTATGGATTATCAATCGGAGCTTTAAAAAACAACCCCTGTTTTTGTCATACTAGTAAAATACCAATTTTCGATTTCAATTGCGTATGAATACATCGTCGTACGTGTATCTACTGATTGTATTAGTTAACTAGGATATTACCCGCGGTACACCGCAGATTAATTATTTGTTTTTATTTTATTTTTTATAATCTGAGGAATTTGTTGTGTATAATATTTTTTATTATACACTGCGGGTCACATGCGTTTTATCTACAAAATTAAAATTTTAAGTTGTATTCATTTTGTTTAATGTTTAAAATTGTATAATTATATTTTGATTTGTTAATTCTAGGATTTAACCCGTGGTATATAGTCCCGTATTAATATCGACCCAAATCCGTACCACCATATAATCCGTGATCTGAAATTAAACATTATTCTGTTATTTTTTGTATTACTTTTATATAAAAGACATATAGTTCGAGTCAATTTAAAAGAATAAATAATTTTTTCAATTAGTGTGTGTTTTTGGACCAACCCGTAAAAACAATTTGTAATTGTATCTTAAAATACGAAATAATTGTATTTGACCCGCGGTATACCGCAGGATAAATAAATAAATAAATATATATTTATTTATTATTATAAACTTATGATATTATTGTATTAATTTTTTTACGTTTTTTGGTATAAACTTATGTTTGATTTTGGGTACACCTTCTATTTTTTTGTTATAACTAAAAATTATAAATTTTGTTAATTTTATTTGATCTGACTAATAATGGGCTGTTTTTATGGGCTTTGAAGAATTGATATTGTTGGGCTTTGAAGAATTGATGTTGTCCTTACTCCTGCCTGAGCACTCCTCCACGACAAATCTCAGAGCTCGCAGCAAACCACTCCTCCTCTCTCTGTCGTCGTCGATTGTCGCTTTTTCTTGGACAACCACCGATAGCTTTAATTTTTTCGCACGATTCTAAACGAAGGAGCGAGCATCATCTTCCGTCACTAACATCTTCGAATTCAAAGATTTCCTTTTTTCTTTTTTATTCTTTCTCTGTTATTTCTTTTTTTTCATTTAGCAACCGATTGTTTTCCTTTCTTTTTGTTTACTCTTTCCGGAAGCTTTGAGTAGATCCTTTTGTCTTCTCTCTCTATTGAGAAAAAAAGGAAGAAAAGCTTTGAAATCTCAGAGAAGGGTTCGTCTTCAACATGGCGCTTTGATTCGATTTGATGTCTTTGAACATATGCTTTTATTCACCAGCCTTGTAATCGCCTGCGTCTTCTTCCCCGAGCTCGCGGTTGATTCGCCGATCGACTTTGTAATCGCCAATAAAAAACGACAAAGCTGTTGAATTGAACACTGCCAACTTCGATTCAATTCTTAAAGACACCCCAACAAAGGTATTTTAGTCTATTTGAGTAAATAGAAATTCATGTTTCTGGGATTGTATTTTGAATAGTTTAGTCGTGTTTTGTGATCTTTTTCTATTGATATGATGATAGAATTTGGGTGATCTCTTGTTTTTTTATCTTTTGCTAAGTGGTTCCTAATAACTTGTTTAGTTTTTAAATACACTGCAATTGCAGAGAATATAGTTAGACTCTTCGTTTGGTAATTAGACTCAAGTAATGATGCTGCAATTTAAGGGCATGTGACAATTATAAGAATCAGACGAAATATAGTAACATGGTTCAAATATAGTGATTTTCGTTTTGGTTTATGTTCTCATGAATGTTATATTAATAGTTTTCTTCATTTGGCTTTGTTTGACGTAAATATTATCAGTGTTGCTGATTACAAATTTATTATGTAAAGTAGGTATCCAAGTATTGATATAATATTTACGCATGAAATATTAAGAAAGATAAGAATAACCACATTCAAATGAAAAAGAGCGAGATTGTATCCGTGTGAAAATCGGACAGAGGATCAACCCATGTAACAACAGTTTGATAGAGGAATCCCGTGTTGTGATGATTGGTTGGCTTGAATTGTTCTCTGTAAAAAAAATATGTGAGTATTTGCATATGATGTTTTAAAAAGAATAATGATACTATAGACTCAATTTTGAAGCTTACTTACACATCAGCCAACACCATGTCCAAGGTCTCACCAATTCTTGTTGTGTATGATTTTCAGGTATGAAGAACCCTCACTTCAGCTTGCCATGTTGTCCTCTCTGAGAAAAGCAAAGGAAGCCGTCATTGCTAGATTTGATGAATGAAGGAGAATATGAAGAAATGAGGTAATTGCTTGATGATGTAGAAAATAGAATGAATAGAAATATTTATAGAGAACTTAGATGTCTAGGGTTAAGGTCAAATCGAGTTGAGAAAAATCTTGGGGGAGAAGTAGAATATCAAAGATACGGGAAACTAACAATGAATGTGAGAGAAATTTAAGGGAGGATTACAATTTCGTGAAGTAACAATATAGATTCTATTTAATATGATGGAAGATTGTAGATAATTTTGTTTAGGAAATCTTGATTTGATAGAATATATTGAGAGAATATGCTTTTAATTGGATACCAAAATTAAGGATACGATAGGATTTGCATTTATTGTGTAATATACTTAGTCAAGATCCGATTGAAAATAATTCGGGTCAAAATATCTAATAAGGAATGATCCGATTGGACAAAATTCCGGGTCAAAATTGAAAAATATCCGACCCGATTGGGGACCCTAAAAACTGTTGCAAAAATGTATAATAAACTAGATTGTTACCCGCGGTACACCGCGGGTTAATTATTTATTTTTTTTTGTCTTTTTATAAACTGATGAATTTGTTGTATATAATATTTTTTGTTGTATATGTCGAGTCACATGCGTTGTAACTAAAAATGAAAATTTTAAGTTGTATTTGTTTTGTTTTGTGTTTAAAATTGTATAATTGTATTTTGATTTGTTAATCCCAGGATTTCACCCGTGATATATTATCCCGTATTAATATCAATCCAAATCCGACCCGTCCCACCATATAATCATGTCCCGTAAAATTAAACATCATTTTGTTATTTCTTTTAATAACACTTTTATTTAAAAGACATATAATTCGAGTCAATTTAAAAGTTTGCTTTCAAATAGTTTCTATAATATATATATATATATATATTAAATAATTGATGTATATTATTTTAAAATATTTGATGTGTTTATAGACCAACCCGTAAAAACATTTTAAAATGTATATTAAAATACTAAATAATTGTATTTCGATTTGTTAATTTTAAGATTTCACCGTGGTATATTGTCCCGTTTTAGATAATTGTAGAAATTAAGAAAATATCTGAATGACTCAATTCCGGGTCAGAGTAAAAAAAAAAATACGACCTGATTACGCAAATTTGTTTTTCAAAAATGTTAATATAGATTGTACACATACTTTTTTCTTCATCGATTGAGTAATATATGTCCGTTTTAAAAAAATTGAATCATAGCATATGCAGAAAAAATCAAATTTTTTTATTAAGTATATATATTTTATAATAGTTCAAAATAATATAAATATAAGATCATATAAAAGTGAAATGAGAATCATATATTTATGTTTTAATTAGGTAGAGAGGTTTTAGGAAATTAGTTCAAATTTGTTATATTAGCATTAAATAATCATATTTGATTTCTATATCTATAAAAATTGTAGAGAATATGCCATAAATAAAGAGTTTAGGTATAGTAATTAGTTGAGAAAATATATATTTTTAGATTTTATTGATTAATTTTCGTTTTTTAATTTTGTCAAAAATAAGGAAAGATCCGATTGAAGATTTCCGGGTCAAAATTAAACAAAATTTGACCCGATTAGGAACCCTAAAAAGTGTTGCAAAAATGTATAGTAGATTAATAGATGTTTTCACCGAACTCATTTGTTAAGATTTGAATTTCTTTTTTAATTTCAATTAGAAGATACGAACTTTATAAGGTTTCTTGTCAAATTTGGGGGTGATGATTTATGCTGCACATTTATCTAAGGTTTCTTTATACGAACTTTATAAGGTTTCATAAGCCTTTATTTAAAAAATGGTAAGAGTTTTTTTTTTTTTTTTTTTTTTTTTCCGCCGTCTTATTTTATTAAGATAAAACAGAAAAACAAAACAGGCCGAGGCCCAACAAGGTGAAAGCCTAGTCCAAGAAGCGAAACCCAAACATGAAGGAAGAGAGAGATTGAGAGCAGACATCACAGAGCCACGTGGGACACATAAGGAAAGTGGGAACACGTGGACAGCCGGCGTCGTCGCCGGTTACCGACTGACACCGGAAGGAACTCCAAACCACCGGTAATCGCTGGAAAAGTCGCCAATTCTTTAAGCTTCAATGAAATCCGACGGAGTCCAATAAGCCTGCCTTGTTGTTAATGGTAAGAGTTTATAAATAGGAAATTAGTAAGGCTAGGAATAATAATGCGATCAACACAAGAACTTTTTAATCGAATTATTTTTACCTAGAACTTAGCCAGATGAACTCTTGGTGCATATTTATGAGTTATTACTCTATTCTTAGAGTTTATGAAATTCACAAGTCGTCAAATTAAGCTATTACGAAGTAATTGTAACTACAAGCATATACTACTAAGTACAAGTCGCAATTTGGTCACAGACATAATATCCTCGGAAACTGGGCACATTGTTGCGACGGAAATGTTTTCGTCGGAAAAAAGTAGCAAAATCTATTTTTAATCGCCGATAAGATGTTTTCGTCTTGTCAGAACCTCCGTGAGTTGAAGGAAAATGATTCGCGGCGGAAGAAACAACATAACTTCCGCTCCGGCGTTTTCGAAAGACGCAAAGAAGCTTCTTCTATGCACAGCCAACACCGTCTCTGTTTACCGCGTCGCCACTGGCTTAAAGGTGGTTTATCTCTTGAGTATCCTTCCTTTTAGGGTTTCTCTTTGCTCTCACTCTTCTCATTTTTGTATGCGTGTTGTGTTTTTAAGATTACTTCACTCGAGGATCATACAGCACCTGTGACGACTGTGATTGTTGATATGGCGTCCAACGAGACCCACAGTTACTGTTGGACTTCGTCGCTCGATGGGAAAATTCGGATTTGGGAGTTCTCGGAGCCGAAGCTTTTGAAGACATTTGATACCCACCTTCCAATTCACTCTCTGGTCTGTTAAAGTTCCATACTTTGCCGCCTTTAAACAAAAATTTGATAAATTTCAATTTCCCCTTTTCTTAAGTGTATATATCTGTTGGGATTTTGTAGGTGATGATTCCATCTCACGTGTCACACTCCGTGATTGCTTATGTTTCGGTTGAGGACTATTCAAGTGTGTCCAGTGATTTGTTTGGACAAATCCGGAGATATGATCTCACTGAAGAGCCTCTTCCTAGTGGAGACATTTTGAAAGAGGTCAGATTTGTGGATTTAACCATTTTTCGATTAGCCTTGCGTTAGATTTGAAAGGTTCAATCATTTTTGTTTATGAGCAGATGGAAGAACCAAAACCTATTGTTCTAAGTCCCTTAGGAGATTTTTTCGGCGTCTGTCATAGTTGCAATATACATATATGGAATGCCTCTCTTGGGGCATCAGAGCATCTCAAGCCAAAGGAGACGACATTACATCACACAGAGTTGATTACTGTTTTTGCTTTCCATCCCAATCAGAGAATATTAGCAGCCGGTGATGTAAAAGGAAGAGTGTTAATTTGGAAGGATATTGGTAATGGAGAACTTACTTCAGTGAAAAGTGAAGGTGATCCTGAATCTTGCACTGCATTCAACTGGCACTCCGCTGAAGTAACCGTCCTTAATTTCTCTTCAGATGGAGCACTGTTGTATTCTGGTGAGACTGAGTTAATAGTGACTGTATCTCTGTGTGTGGATAATGAATTCATGTGTCAGAACGTATATATATTGAGTTCTTATGCTATATTTCCTTTGCTTGTGACTCTTTTAGGGGTAAAGGAAGGTGTTTTTGTTGTTTGGGAGCTAGATACAAGGAAAAAGAAACTTTTGCCAAAGATTGGATCCCCGTTGTTGTATTTCATCTCCTCTTCAGATCCAACTCTTTCTTCTGTAAGTCAGAGTTTTTCCGCTTACAATCTAGGTGTCCGTAATATACAACCTGCAGAAAGCAAAGGAAATGTTTCATTAACTCTACTAAGATCAAGAAGTTTCAGGTGATTTGTGCAGATAATCAGATTCATCTTTCAAAAATGCCTTCCATGGAGATACTGAGAACGATATCTGGAATCAAGGTTCGTTGAAATTTTTACTTTGTTATGTTGGTTTAAGAATGCTCCTATTGGATTACGTTTCTATTGGAGTTAACTTCACATGCATATTGTGTTCTTACTATGTAATAGCCTCGGAGATCAGAGCGTCACGGGTTTATATGCTACGTTAAAACGAGGGATATATGCCTCACCAGAACTGTGTCCATTGATCGTTCTTCCGGTATAGCTGCTTTCTGTGCAGAGAATCATCGTGTTCAACTCTACAACCTTTTAAGTGACCATGAAATTTCAGAGGTTAGCATCCTAAAAGGCTTATTGAGTTTTGTATCTGATAGTTGTATGGTTTTACTATTTAACAAACCTAACATATGCAGGTTCAAATTTGCGAGAGAAATCATCATCCAGACGGTGATGAAGTCCGGGTTAGTACATTTTGTTTCTTCTCTGTAAGATGACATAGCTGTTACTAGTAAAGGATCTGCTCTCTTTCTGTTTTGTAATAATTTGAAGAATTATGGAAAATAGGTTCTCGTGACTGCGGTTGCTCTCTCTCGGAATGGCTCAGTGATGACTACAGCTGATGCCAGATTTGCTGCAAGCAATTTCAGTGAAGGCTTAGTTTCTCTCAAGTTTTGGGTGTTTGTACCGGACAGCAAAACTTTCAGCTTATCGACAGTCATAAATCAACCTCACAGGTTTTTTACTTTTATGTTTTTATAAACTTTCAGACTATTTGATTCTCATCGTGAGAGTTACTTTTTATCCGTCTGTATTTCTTACAGGGAAGCTGCTATCACAGCCATTGCCCTTAACCCCGCCCGTTCCATGGCTGTTAGTATATCTTCTGCTGGGGACTTCAAGGTAGATTTTTTTTTACAGTATAGTGGATAATGGATCATTTCCTTGGAATATCGTTTGACCTTTGTGTTACTGATGTGAGTTAATGTCTTTCAAGATTTGGGTTTGCAATAGCGACAAGAATCTGACACCTGAGGATTCAAACTGGATATGTCATGGAGATGGCTCTTACAAGTAAAAGATTAGGAACCTTTAACATCTCTCATCACTTAGTCGTTGTGATCTGAATGGAAATTGATGAAATATTTTTCAGGAGAACGCCAATAACAGCTGCTGTTTTTTCCGGGGATGGTTCTTGTCTGGCTATTGCGGCTAAAACAGTTATTACGATCTGGCACCCGTTAAAGAACGAACTCTTGTATGTAGTTGGAAAGGCAAATGCGGTAAGACTTCTATAACATACAAAAGTAATTCCATGTTGATTAACTACAGCCAGTGTTGAAACCTTAAATGATATGTAAATGTTTCAGACAATTATGGAACTCTCATTCACTGGAGGAGGCTTCCTTATTGCTGCATCCCATGGTTCCACACCGCACTTATCTGTCTGGGATTTGATGACGTTCTGCTTATCATGGTCTTATAGATTATACATAGAAGGTTTATTATTTATCTTTTCTTTCTTTTTTAACATGAAATCTTAATTCTTTGGTTGTCTAAGTATGTTTCCTTTTCCTTTTTTATTTGCAGCCATTGCCACTGAAGTGGGCTCGCCATACTTTGCAGTATTAACATGGCTTCCAGAATCTGATAGGTTGGTAAAATCTAACGGACAAATGTTCTGCGGGAAAGATGGTGCTATCCTCTTGTTTGATGGGTCAGGCCCTAAACCAGTAGCTATTTGGACTGTAATGAAGGTATATTCTTCTACCTTTAAGGATTTTGATCAAAGTTCTCTCATTACCGTTAAGTTTCTTGATCACAATGTCTATCCCAGGCCAGGGGAGGAACGCTTTCATTTGTGGAAGATGGTAAAAAGTCTCAGCCACTTCTCGCATATGTAAACAGGAGCCATGAATATGTTCTTTTTGATCCTTATGGCGATGAAAAACTTGAGACTAGCGCCATAGATTATGAAGTTTTTCTTGCAGCAATAAGCAAGAAGACGAAGAGATCTAGGAAGAAAGCATTGATGTCAGAGAAACCTTGGGAAACAAACTTTTGTGGATCAACGCTCAATTTCCCGCCTTTCCCCGACGTGTGCTCTGCTTTCTTCAGTTCCCGGATGCAGAAAAAGGTGTGTGAGAGAGCAGAGAGAGAACCTGAAAGTCATAGCTCTTGAGAGACCAGAGAGACAACCTGAACGACATAGCTCTTGAGAGACCACATATTTTGGAACCCATTTGGATGACATCATTTTGTTAGAAGCCTTTTTGTTAGAGATACAATATGATTCCTTCAGCTACTAAAAGGGTTTTTTTGATATTAATTGGGCTTCATTCATCATGTAGAACTTGCTGATTTGAGGTGTATAATGTAATTATATTTTTTTAACCAATTATCTCTTTAATACGTAAAAAGTAAGGTCAATTGTAACGTCTGGGAAAAAAACAAGAAGCTTAAAATTGTGACCCAAACATAATTTGTTAAATTTGAAAAACATAAATCGAAAGCAATTTGGTTTTAAAGATCGTAGTCCTCCAAGTAGTCCGCAATCGATTGGCCATCCATATCCGCAAGGTTGAGTGGCTTACAAGTATCCTAAGTCGTATCTGCTAAAGCAGGAGGATTCATGGAGGCTGCAGGACGAGACACCATCGGTAGGAGGGTCTCAGGGTCAATGCCGTTGGCTCGTAGTAACACATCCTGCGCTCGCTTCATCGCCAGCATGTTGTTGGTGACGTTGTTGGAGAAGGTGCGGAATTCAGTCTCCAAAATGGTGACCCGCATATCCATGTCTAGGTTGGGCTGGAGGTGCTGGTACTGAATTGAGCCAAGTCCATAGTCACACCCTTTGGTTGATGTGACGTGCTGCAAAAGAAACGAGTGTAGATGGTCTTCAACTTTGTTAACAAGAATTCACAAGACAGAGAAGAAATCAAATAAATCGATATATAGATAAGAAAACGTCAACCTCATGGGAACGTTCATCAGAATTGGCTCGTAGAAGATGAAGATCGGCGAGGATGTGTGTCAAAATGGAAGCCCTAAAGAAATCAGAGAGAGTCCTCTCTAACTTCTCCATTTTCTTCATGAGATATAACTGTCGAATCATATTCCAGCGATTGCATGTTAAGAATTTGTCCATGAGTTTCTTGCCCTTCTCTAGAGACTCAAAGAGTATACGGATTTGAGCCTGGCGGTGAGCAGGCAGCTCAACTCCACTGTACTGGATCTCTTTGATCGTTGGTTGAATGTTCTCAATCAAAGTGCTGAGGTTGTCGGCAGTGTTTTTATACCGGCCTGCTCTCGCAGATATCAGAAAGAGCTGCTTCAAAAGCTCCGTCGCTATTTCACCGGCGAAATAATCAGTGACGGCCATTAGTAAAGGCGAGAAACAAGTGTGGAGATAGAGAGCCGAGAGAAAAGGATGAACTAAATAAGGTTAGAATCTGAATAGTGGAGGAACCCCATTGAAGTTTCCTAGCAACTCAAAGTGACAAGTGACATCTCCATAATATATGTTCAAGAGTTGAATGATGAAGAAAGAAGGAAATTAATGAGAAATTGAGAAGGCAGACGTATATTTTATATTTGTATTTTGTTTTGTTTACAAATTAATTGAGTTTTGAGTCAAACTTCTGACTTACGTAACATGATCATATTAAATCGTTTAATTGGTTTATGTATTACTGGCTGAGTTTGTAGTTACTGGTTACAAGTAATTATTATAGAATAGAAAATGATACATTTAGTACTATATTATATTTTAGAAGATTTATCTAACATCTATGTTATCTCATCTGCAAATATACATTTTGATATCTTTTTTCGAGAAAAATATTTCTTTTAAAATTACATATATACTCGTCTACTATTTTAAAAATTTAACTGCTATTTAAAAATTTTATACATCAAAACATTATTGTTTATGTTTTTTCATAATACTTACATATCTAACATTTAAACAACATGACTTTACTCCTTAGAAGTGAGATGTTAATTTTGTAATATCACATAAAAATTGTTTTATCAAGAAAACTTAATGTACTTTAGATATGTTGTTTCCACCAATTTTGTGTTAAAATCATTTGAATAATTGATGAAATCTCAAATTTATTTTTTATTTTGATCATGTGATTTATATTTAAGCGTCTGAGCGAATTATCTATTATGAAAAATGAGAATATAGAAAAGACAAATCACTCAAAGGGATAATCAGAAAGATAAAAGAATTTAGGAAAGGAAAGAAAAAGGAGATACGAAAAAGGTAAAAAGCTTTTATGTATGTACCATATAGTGTGCAAGTTATTATATATGTATGTATTTGTTTATTTTTATGTACAACATACCATATCTTAACTTGTATATATCCCCCTCTGTTTTCTCTTAAAAAGACTTCATTTGTCGCAAACTCAACTTCGTCAGTAAGCAAACTTGTCTGCATTTGTTCAAAAAAAAAGAAGAAGCAACATTGCCTCTGGTCTTTGCCAACAAGAACGGAGGCAAAAAAATTTTTTTTGGTTTTGATGATTTTAATAATTCTCTTTGTTGTTACCATTAAACTTCTTTCTTCCGTTTATGAGTTTATATTATTCAAAAATGATAACAACATTTTAATGTTTGATTAGGGCCCTCACAAACGTTGGACTGACTATGTAATATGATCATATTAAATCGCCTAATTGGTTAATTTATGTATAAACTGACTGAGTATGTGGTTACAAAAAAAAAAAAAAAAAAAAAAAAAAAAAAAAAAAAGTGGTTACAAGTAATTGTTATAGATTTTTTTTTTTTTTGGTGACAAACATAAGCAAAAATTAAGCAAAAATATATAAGCATAATATGACCACATTACTATAGATTCCAATAAAATCGCGAACTTAAACAAAACTAACGTCTATGTACAAGAATTATGGTGCACAATAATCATTTCAAATAATTATATCACATTAGTAATGGGATATCAGAAAATTATTGTCCCGTACATGTACATGCATTTTAGTGATATCAGAAAATTCTAGATATTGATTTCAACAATATAATAGAATTATCTACTGAGAATTTTTCATTATATTGTCGACAACCAATGTAGGCATAGATTTTGGTTTCGTAGACCAAAACCTCTAACTTTAAAGTCTTCTTCCCCATATGTATGCATGGACTTCGGATAATATATATATACAGTAAAAAAAAATCTGATTATGCAATATATAGTTATATACCCAAGCCAATGAACATATTCTGCTCCTGAAAGAAAGTTGAATTACGGATTTGTCATCTTATGGAGGTTGGAGCTCTAGCACACTTTCGTGGAAATTGCGAATAAGAGCATGATTATAGGTAGTCTCTTAAAAATTAATCTTAGCAATATTTAAGTAATTTATTTGTAAAAGTGATTGTTAAGAGATAGTATTTTTGAGTTAAAATTTTTGTGTGATTAATGGTAGGCTCTTAACATGTGGTTTTTAGAAAAAAAAATATTAATATAAAAATAAAATTTATAATCATAGAAAATTTAATAATTGTTGCAAATTAAAACATACATGAGATACAATTTATAACATAGATGACATAAAACACAATAGTTTTAAACTTGATTTTCGGAAATTTTTTGCCATATATGCTCGACCAAAATTTTTGAATTGTTGCTTCTTGTTAGTATCATGGTATCTTTAGTGTGTGGAATTTGAGCTCTATACAACATCACACACATAGCATTCTTATAGTAGTTAGTTACTCTTCTACTAACTACACACACTTAGACTTCTAGAGATTAGACTAAACTTACAAACATGAGCTCGACTCTCTTACACATTCAACAACTCTAATAACTCACTTGAAAAAAGAAAGTAAGCCTTTGGTCTGTAAACGGCATATCCTTTACAATCACTATACGCCACTTTCCAATGTGATCATTCTCATTGATCTTATGACCCCTCTGCTTCTTGTATTGCAAGAGTAACTTCATCCCAAAACGCAACATAGCAAACCTGCATCCACAAACCTCATTCAGGATTGGATAATGATCTCTGGAATTGGTTTTGTTTAAAACCCTTACTCGATATGCAAGAGAAACAGTTAAAGAGCAGTGGACAGGAGAAAATCAAAGTGACCAACCTTGTGACTTGATGCCTTAGACATTCCAATAGGTTCATAAAGATTTTATCTCCACCACCAAAAGCACACGTCGAGACTACAACTTCACATGTTTGCATAAACCTCTTATCCTTATCCAAAATCCAAAATCCCCCATTAGCATTAAAAAATCCACAATGCAACAAAACTGTTTCCCTTACCTGATGCAATAAAATCAATACTCAGTTCAACATATCAACTAATCATTCCACAACACAGAACAAATAAAACGAAACAATACCCAAGTTTTAACCAACCAATAACAAATCAAAGAAACTCTCTTTTTCAACATTCATGGCCTATTCATACAAAAACATCTCAGAGTAACCTAACAATCATGCGTATAGCATCAAAAACTTATCAAATTCATGAATTATAAAAAGATCCCAGAGAGTATTAATCGAAACAATCATCAACACTCATGAAAAAAACATTCTCGGACAACAATCGGCTTTAAACATGCCTAGTTTCTTTTACTATCATAACAATCGGCTTTACTCATGTATTACAACACAAACAGACACTCGTTAACCTAATGATTCTAATTACCCTAATTTTACTAACAACTAATAACCCTAAAATCCCCAATTCCATGAACCCTAATTCTAAAAACTCTAATCACATATCAATTCATACAATCATAGATAGATTCATACCATGACAAACCGATTGGGGAAAGCTTCACTCTGATTTGTTGAAAATAATCGGAAATCTTGTGAATTTCAGTGGAAGAAGAACAACACTCCGACAACACTCGTGAAAGAGAGAGAGAAAAAAAAACAGAAGGAACGTTCCTTAACTAAGGAACGTTCCTTAGTTTAAAAGGAGTAAATGCAATTAATTTAATCAGTTTTATCCCTAAAATTTCCCTAAGATTTCCCTAATATACTGCCGTTAATCATGCTCTAAGGATGCCATTGTCACTAATTCTTAACTCGGCTGGGTGAGGATAGCATTTTTAATTAAATAAAAATATGTATCCTTTAACAATTAATTAGTCACGTGGTTGCTCTATTTTTTCTTTTTTTAAAAAATTATGAACACTTGAAGTGCTTGTTTATATGTATGTAACATACAATGTCGTATGTGCAAATGGTGATTTATATTTGACCGAATTGTTATAGATTCTCTTCTTTTTTTTTTTTTTTTTTCTGTGACAAACATAAACAAACCTTAAGCAAAAATACAAGCATAATATGACCACATTATTATAACTTCCAGAAAAGTAGTAAACTTAAGCAAAACTAACGTCTATGAATTACAATACCAATTGTATACTATTAAAAATAAAAAAAATTATAAAATGAAGAAAACTTATTATTCATATTTTCAGTCTTCCACAAGTCATGTTAACATCTCACATAAATCACTACATGACAAACATAATAAGAATTTGTTAGGGATAAATTTGGACTTTTAGGCATCAAGTGGGGTTAAAAAAGATTTGTCTCTTTTCCTGCAAAGTCGTTAGTCAACAGAATACTCAAAATTATTGAGAGAAATATTTATATGACTAAGGTTTTACCGGGAAACTCTTATTCCTCGGCGTAAACACCACCACTGGAAGATCGATCTTCATTTCTTGGGCATAAAAGTATGCAACCTTCAATCAGTAACGTTTTGCCAGTATTCACAGATAGATACTAGAACGATTTGCCCTGCAGCATCAAGAATTCCTTACAGTATCCTGCGTGAAAGAACTCATCAACTTGCCTTCAAATTCGTAATCAAGCTAACAAGAACAACAAATAGATTTCGGTTTCGTTGAAGAACTCATGTAAAAGTGATTGGTTGCATGAACTCACTCGTGTACGCGTCCTAGGAAAGTCATCAATCTTGTGCTCTTCTTTAACATCGATGTCATAACAATTATAGATATCAGTGCTCCTCCACCAAGCAAATGATCCATGCATGGAACTCTGGAAACAACGTGTTCTCTTTCTTTTTTTCTTTTTTGTAGAAAGATGCATGACGGTTATAAGCAAAAATGTAAGTGTCGGAAACTGTTGCATTAACTTCAGAAAACAAAACAATTTTTTATACAACCAATTTAAACCGTTGCATAAAATGATAATTTTGGCCAAGATGATGTATTTTTTAATTGACTACTGAAGGTGAATATAATAGGTTTGGTTAAGGTTTTAGATTTATGATGAACACGGTAGATAGGTTTCTCGTCTTCTGACTTTTCCTCTTACTTCTCAACGACTCAACGTTTTAGCATTTTTATACGATGCACCTAAGCTGCGCATGCATGCTTAAAGATTTAACTTTTAAGTATTTGATACTGGAGAAAAACAATTTAACTATTTCATACACCTTAAAGCCATCGCCAAAAGGCTCGGTTATAAAAGAACTAGTAGACATGTCAATTAGGGCCCAAGCCCGCGGGCTAGCCCGGCCCAGCCCTAAAAAACAGCGGACTCGGGCTTCAAATTATATGTCCAAAAAAAACCGGGCCTTTTGGGCTAAAAGATTTTTTGGGCTTAGCCCGGCCGGGCTCGGACTAGCCCGAAAAGCCCTTTAAAAAATATTTTGACCTTTTTTTGTTAATATTTTCGTTTAATTGTAAGATTTGTTGTAAAAAAAAATTTTGATAGTGTTGAAAACCATAAACTTAGTTTTTTTTGTTGTGTATTACTTTTTTTTTTTTTTTTTGGTCAAATTTGTTGTGTATTACTATAAATCGAAAAAATAAATATTAGCTCTACTACCTAATTTGAATTATTTTGATTTTATATTTTATCTACTACAAGTTTAAACAATTTATTTGGATTATTTATTTGATTTTAACTTTCTTTTTAAAAAACTAAATTAGCGTTAGTGGTTATTTAAATTTTGATTGACTCGTTTCATATATAAATTCTTTTTTAAGAAATATTATAAATTATAAGTTTGTTTTCTATTGTCGGAAGAAAAACCCAAAAAGGCCCGGAAAAGCCATGTAGCCCTGTTAGGGCCCGGGCCAGGCTTTAAAATATAGGCTCGGAATTTTTACGGGCCGGGCCGGGCCGGACTCAAATATGTACGGGTTTTGCGGGCTTCGGGCCGGGCCGGGCAAAAAAAAAAAAAAAAAAGAACTAGTAATTCAAATGAAAATTTCATCACGCAGCTACAAAAGAATAAGTAACCATAACTTATTGGGAGACTCACAAAAATGCCCCTTTTTCAATACCCCTTTTCAAAAATGCCCCCTTTGGCTGTCCATTTTTAAAAATACCCCTTTTTATGTACAAAATGACTAAATTACCCTTCTTTTAATAAAAGATATCACAAATATATAAGGAAATATAACAAAATTAGGTCCACAAAATACAAAATATTTTTTGGCGGGAAAAGTGATCCCTCAATTTTTCCCGCCAAAACACTTGTAAAAAACCTTTAAAATACCTTGTAAATTTTTCCCGCCAAAAAAATTTTTTTGCGGGAAAAGTGATTCCGTAATTTTTTTGGCGTTAAATTTTTGGCGGGAAAATTTTTGGCGGAAAAAATTTACAAGGTATTTTAAAGGTTTTTTACAAGGTATTTATAAGGTTTTACAATGTATTTTAAAAGGTTTTACAACGTATTTATAAGGTATTTATAAGATATTATAAGATTTTACAAGCTATTTTATAAGGTTTTACAAGTTATATGATTTTACAAGTTTTTTATAAGGTTTTACAAGTTTTTTACAAGTTATAAATTCCTTATAAAACTTTATAAGTACCTTGTGAAACCTTTTAAAATACATTGTAAAACCTTACAAAACACTTGTAAATACTTCGTAAAACCTTTAAAATACCTTGTAAATTTTTCCCGCCAAAAATTTTCCCGCAAAAAACATTTTTTGGCGGGAAAATTTTTTGGCGGGAAAAATTTTTACGGGAAAATTTTACAAGTGTTTTGGCGGGAAAATTGGGAGATCACTTTTCCTGCCAAAAAATATTTTGTATTTTGTGGACCTAATTTTGTTTCAAATAAGGATAAAATGGTCATTAAAAATTAAAAGAGGACAAACTTAAAAATGGACTCTCAAAGGGGGCATTTTTGAAAAGAGGTATTGAAAAAGGGGCATTTTTAACAATTTCTCTAACTTATTTTGCTTTTCCGTAGTAGAACAAAGCTAATTAAGGTGTATTAATCATTATTAATGTTCAAAATACTGAACTCTCTCTTTTTTTTTTTTTTTTTTTTGACAATCATCATGTTCAAAATACTTTAGATTCTTTATGGGGTCTATATACCTATACATCTGGCTGACATATATTCTTAAATTAATCAATTATTTAAAATTATTAAAATTATCCAAAATCTTAACAGTAACTCTCATGAAAATTAATGTATTTTGATGGAAACTCAAATAAATATATTTTAAAGTTTTATCAATCATAATTATTATATACTTGGTGATTTTTAACGAGAGTTAACTAATCATTTTTTATAATTATCACGCAAACTAATGAAAATTTTGATTTACAATATTAAAGTATTCATAATTTACTAAAAACATAATAATAACATTGAAAATTTTTTAAAATTAATATTTAACTAAATGATGTGATTAATATAGTAAATGATATGACAAAAAAATTATTCCGTAACTTTTTCCCAACAATTTTCAAGTCAAGTGTCACCATTTAGACCCGTAAATGAAAAAAAATTAAGAAAGTTTTGATGGGTATTTTTTTTTTCTTCTTAAAATTGATTTGATGCATCAGCAAGTGGGACAAAGGGATAAGAAAAGAGGCCCTTTTAGGCCCAATAACTGTTTTGTTTTCTTATTTAGATTTTGAATAACTGACACTAAAAACGTTATCTTTTATATTTGGAATCCTTGTTATTATTTCTTCTCAGTTCTCACTCACGTGGAACCGTACCTTCATATCCATTTAAAAAAAAACAAAAATATATTGGTTTATCCTATTTATCTATACATTGATTTCAACAATATTTTCATATGACAATAATTTATCCCATGTAGGCTATGCAGCACAAATTTTGATCTTGGAGACCAAAAAATAAGTAAGAATATTTTAGTCTTTTTTTCTATGCATGATGATGCAATGGAAAGTCGGAAACAAGCCATTGCGTATATTTTTAAAGTAAGAATATTTTTCAATCACCCACTACTGTAGATAACAATAATTCAACGGTATATAAAAAAGAAGAAGTTACCATCAAAATTTTTAACTACATGACAATAGAAGAAGAAAAATGTTGCCTTCAAAAAACAAAAGAAGAAAGAAAAACGAAAATTTGACAAACCAAACAAAGAAAAGAAATGAACGAAAGGAAAACAGAAGAGAAACTTTTTGGGTAAAAAAGCGAAGGGGATTCTCTGTACTGTAATACGATGGCCATGTGATCGAGATCAAAATTAGAAACTTCTTTTTGATATTTCCTTGTGGTCCACCCAAAACGTGATTAAGATATATATATATATATATATATATATATATATATATATATATATATATATATTTCGCCAAACGTGATTAAGATATATATATGGATGGCATATATATAATTTAGATTAATAAAAAAACATCTCTACCGTAAATATGCTACGTACGATAATATATATTAACACTCACGTATATGTATATGTATATATGGCATATATATAATTTAGATTAATATAATATTGATGAAAAAACATCTCTACCGTAAATATGCTACGTACGACGTACGATAATATATATTAACACACACGTATATGTATATGTATATGTGTATAAATATGTGTGTGTGTTTGAGTCTTGACTCTTGATGTATTTTATTCCCCTATATCATATATGTCTAATACATGACATATATATATAGTAGTTTAGAAACAGGTTTTAAGCATAACGTAAAAGAATATACATTTACACAGTTTGCCTCTGGTCTACTTCATCTATCTCTCTCAAAACTCGAAGGTTAGGTACTAAACCCTAATTTCAGGTCTGTGTGAAGTCAAACAATTAATCTTCCCTTGTAGACTATGTTTTGCAGTTTATGCTGAGTTTCTAGGTGTTAGTTCTTAACTAGGGTTTTCATCTCGTCCTAAAAATTGTCTTTAATGTCTTCGTGAAGTCCAGATCACTAACGAGAGTTTCATCGTAATTGTAGCCGCGAGTCTATCTTCATGCTACCAAAATTCCATTTATTTTGTTGCTTAAGGTTTAATTAACGCTTGGCTTTGGCTTTGTAGAAAAACAATGGATATGGAACGAGGACTTGGAAATTTCAGGACTTGGGTCTGCAACAGCAGCGTTTTTCTCATAGTTATGGGGGTGGTAACACTTAGTTGCAGTATGATAAGCCTTTGGATGATGTTCATTCTACCCGTCGATAAAATACCAACGTGGTTGAATATCCTGCTCTATGTCATATACACTGGTCTCATCATCTACGTAATCGTCTATTACACGCTAATTAACAATGGTAACAGAAACGTGTTAGTTGATCACTTGGTGCCTCGAGGATACCCGAACTGTGCTTGCATCGTCAGGGGTTTCGGCAAAGCTTTGGTTTTAGGGTTCTTCGTTCTGGCTGATTCCACTCTCGAGAAGAAAAACAAGGTTTGGGTTATCCTGTTCTGCCTTTCCTCTGTCCTCCATGTCATACATATGATGGTGGTGTTTGGATTTAGAGAAGAATTTGACGTAGCCGGTGGCTTGATCCAAGCCTTCTTCGTCATGTTTTGTGACATCATCAAGCCAAAAGTAGGGAAGAAAGTACATCCTCTGGTCCTGGTTACGACAGCTATTACTCTGGTCCTGGTTACGATAGTCTTGAACTGTTACAAGACTCTGCTCCTTGAAGGTGTTGCCGTCAGAAGGGAGGAGCAGCCAGTGGTAGGTTAATGAAGGTAATATAAAATTAAGACACAGAAATTAACTTATTAGGAACATATTAATTCTTGTAAAAAAAACAAATAGCGACATACAGTATATTCTAGTAGTAGATATTTATCTGATTTGCAACGGTTATCAATTGTGATCCCTTAAGTAAAGGCATTAATATCAGGTTGTAATAGCATCTTTCATTAATTATCGGTTATTTTGTTTTCAAATTCTATTAGAAAGTTGGTTTATTTCTGGTTATCTTTGGTTATTGCATTCTGGTTTAGTTTCATTGTGTGTGTGTGTATATAAGCTTCACGAGTAATAGAAATCAAAATCTTATCCATTCAATCTTCTTCTTCGTCTTCTTTGGGCTCTCTCACAAGTAACATGTTTCCCCCAATTTCTCGTTCTAATTCCGGCTATCTTATACTGATTACTTTTTATGGGTTTCCCGAGAAAAATTCTGTCGAATTCAATAGAAAATTGTCACCATGTCGTGCTGTTTCTCTCCGGATTTTGACGTTACCGAGCTCCGGGAGCTCCCTAGGGTCCAATCCAATCTTCACCGACGAAATGCACCACCGGTATCACCGAGCCGGAAGATTTGCTCAGATTGTTAACCCAACAATTTCGAAACTTGTCTGTTTCAGTATTTTTACCTTTTTTTTTTTTTTTGACAGCGACAGAGGGACTTTCTTACGTTGCTTCCTATTTCCTCGGTAATTTATTGTGTGACAGCCAGAAATTTACTTCTTCCTTTTTTTTTTTCTTTCCCTTTCGAGTTTCCCACATTAACTTTTCTTTCCTTTTCAGAGATCAAAATCATTAAAAACTAGACTTGTAAACAATAAAGTTTTATGTAGAAAATGTAGTAAGAATATTTTATGACTATAACAGGTTGTGGTTGCTTAAGTTAAAGTGGGTTGTTGAGATTTGTGAGACTAATTTGGTTAACACCAATACACCCAAAATCTCAAAACAAGAACAAATACACCCAAATTCAGTGACACACCAATAAATAATGATCTTGTCGCGCAAGTGAAGCACTTAAGCAACCCAATAAATAAACGTAAAAAAAATAAAGATATCTGAAACATGTAATTATGTTTTGGAATTGGAACTAACTATAATTTTACGATATTAAAAACCAGAAGCAAAACACAAATCTACCGAGCACAAACAAACCTACTTTAAGATGACCTAAGGAAAGATGCTTTGGGTGACCAAGAGGCCACATATGAGAATCACAGCGTATAAGCTAAAATCCATAAGCAGTGCATCCATTATCTTCTTCATCATCATCACCGTCTCCAAAGCGTTGCCTACTTGGTCCACTATACCCTGCCCGCTCATTACTGTCCCTGAGGCTGTGGAAGAATCTCCACGGTGACTCAGCAGAAAACGTCCAAGTACAATTGTGGCATCGGTCAAGAGAAGCAAGAAAACTGGCCTGAAGCTTACTATGTTGCCTAGGGAAGAGAAACCAAGATGAGATAGTATCACAACAAGTGCAATCGCAAGAGCTGTGAACATCCGTGCGTGTTCTGAAGCATCGATGGCCGCTCCAATGTGCTTTGGTGTGATGGCGTTCACAAAACTAACCACAGGAATAAATGCTTGAGAAGCACGTAAATCTACCACTGATGGGTTTTGAGCACTTGATGTAGGAGACGGTTGTATTGTTGTGTCTCTAGGATCTGAAGCACAGGCTTCTGCCAATGTTTCAGAATACCTCTGAGGCTGAAGTGATTCTTCTCTGCTTTGATGGATGATACTCATACTATCCGCATTTTCAAGCATCACAGCATCAGAGATGTTTTCCTGGTGACTTGTGAAAGCTGCAATATCACAACCAGGATCATCAAAATCAGTAAGTTACCCCTGTCTTTCTCTAATTATGCTTATAAGAGATTGGAATCAACAACATATAAATGATGCTAACATTCTGACATGCATCAATATTCTTGTTCAGTATAACAAGTCAAACAAGCAAAAAACTCACATATGTAAAATAAGCAGATATTATCACATAAATCTGTAACCTCTGAGTAGGATAGTGAAAAGGTAAGCCTCAAGAAACGCCAAAGTAGACAAAAAAAAAGATAATTTGGTTATTGGAGTAGGACGCTGAATATTCAAAAGGAAATAAGATAGAAAATTCAGAATCACGAATAGTTGGCTTTTATACATCCACAATTTAGTCCATTACATAGACAATCATCATATACCGGATGGAACCACATGTTAGTCCAGGTTCCAATTAAGACCCTATGGAGTGTTTGCACCTAGCTATTAACAAATTAGTAAACTAATCTAGTATTTTAGTTAATTTTAATTATGCATGTATCGACATCTGAACTTTTGTTTTCACTTTTCTGGACTCTACCCCTCATGTAATAAACAAGTACTCCCTCCTCCCACCGTCCTTCTGTTTGAGGTTCAAAAGAAAAATTTCCCGTGTATTCACAGAACCTTCGCCAGTATTCACAGATAGATACTGGAACGATTTGCCCAGCAGCATCAAGAATTCCTTGCAGTAGATTCATCATAATCCTGCGTGAAAGAACTCATCAACTTGCCTTCAAATTCGTAATCAAGCTAACAAGAACAACAAATAGATTTCGGTTTCGTTGAATAAATCACGTAAAAGTGATTGGTTGCATGAACTCACTCGTGTACGCGTCCTAGGAAAGTCATCAATCTTGTGCTCTTCTTTAACATCGATGTCATAACAATTATAGATATCAGTGCTCCTCCACCAAGTAAATGATCCATGGAACTCTGGAACAACATGTTCTTTTCTTTTTTCTTTTTTTTGTAAAAAGATGACGTACGGTTATAAGCAAAAATGTAAGGAGACTGGAAAATCAGAAAGGACCTGAAATATCAAAACAGCAGCTGAAGTCCAGACTGACCAAGATACAAAGTTTGATGTGCTAACGTCAATTGAGCCATCTTTATCCAAAACAAATCTCTTGACAGTGAAAAGTCCCAAACTTAGTCCAACAAAATGTAGATGCAACCATAGACCAAGTGCCACCTGCAAAGCGAAAATGCGGATAAATTCTTTAAACTGAGCTTTTAACCTGATTCAAAGACCTGCATCTACAACAGAGGTAAAGTTCCGACACTATTAAAACATACGTACACTTTCAGGAATTCCTTCATCGAGTTCCATCAATATAAGCATACTGTGAAACAATTCAGGTACGTAGCGAAAACAGACACCGCCCAAACCAACCTGATCAAGAATGAAGGAAAATGTATTGTTACTGTAGGATAAAAAGTGGTCGGAGGAGTAAGAGAAAGGACAAAAAACACAACCACCACAGATGAATAGAGGAACAATGCTGAAGAACCCAGTCCAGTTGGTAGGCGCTTCAGTCCCTGAAAGAGGAGAACCAACACACCAAGGATAGAACCAACAGTCAACACACAAGTGTAGTAAAATGCTACTGATCTGCTCAGTGAATTAGCAGAACTCAGCAAAAGGGTGCCAAGGATTAAGAATACTATGCGAATCATAAACCATTCTGCAAAAGCAGGAAACAGAATTAGGAAGTGAAACCAATGGACAAAACCGTTTGATAGTGTAATTAAATTAGACAGCCAAAATTCACCTTCTACGGTAGACACTTTCATAGTGACCTTGGATGAGCTAGATATTCTGACATCAAGGATTTTGTGGTCGAATAGTGACATTGTCTGAAACCATGAACCATTAGAGACTTTCTCCCATTGATCATCAGGGCACATCCCAATTCCAAGAGAAAGATCCCTTAAAAAGATATCAAGGAAACATTAATGATATTGGAAGAGCTATACGATCATCTATGATATTGGAACTTAGTGACTCTGTTTTGAACTCTGTAATAGAATCACCTGTGGAAGCAAACGTGTGTAGTACTTGTGTTTCCACCGGTTAACACGTGAACCATAAGCTTGAGTGAATGTGCATACTTGTCTACATGTTTAAACCTTGGAAATCCATGGACACGTATCCTCTCACAGAGAGTATTTAAGTCTTGCTTCAGTCTAGAAGAACCATTAACCTTAACCACTAAACTAGGAGTGACTAGAAGCTCTTTGGTTTCTCCCACAACTGTTCATAGCCATAAGTTTCAAGAAATCAACCACGACAACAGATGCAAAAACAAGAATTCAATTCACCCGAAACCGAACATGAGAAAAACTTACCCAACAGTTCCTCAGATGAAACGAGAGACGACAAAGCAAAGACAATTCCTATAACGCGGAGAAGAAGAAGATCACCCATCGATCAATCACTATGATTTCTAGGGTTTCAAGAAAATGGAAAGACTTCTGAGTGAAAGAAAAGCGAAATGGAATAAACAGAAGAATAAAGTTGATCAACTCTCGGCATGACAAATGTCAACGGGACCAATAGATGCCCATTTCATTTATGGCCCATTTATATGTATATTAACTTCATTGGTTCATGTATTGGAGTCTAGTTCATTTGAAATATCCATACCAAAATCTTATGTTATTGAAATCATTTTATCAAAAGCATGCTTGTGTCATTGGTTTTATGATTTCAAAATATTCTTTTAAGTCAACTGTTATTTAATATTAAAGATTGACATTATGTTTTTATTGCACAGTAAATGGGTTTATAAAATAATGATAATTAGGCTCTTCAATCCCTTCTCCGTCTTTATTTCTGTAATTGAACTAAACAAGACTAGGAAGTCATGTATTCTTTGTCAAATATATAGGCTTTGTGGCCTTTGTAATTGTTATCTATCGTCTATTGTGATGGCAGATTAAGCGGAATAATCAGAGAGCTATATAATAACATAAACAATTTGGTACTAACAAAAAAAAAACATAATGATCTACCCCTTGTTTGAAAAATCGCTAGGCGCTAGTCGGGCGCTCGGCATGGGCCTAGCGATTAATCGAAAAATCGGATTAAAATCGGGGATTAGTTTTAGGGTTATTTTAATATTTTTAAAACATATTAATCTAATATTATTTTCAAAATTGCAGTAAACACATAAAAATGTATTTTTGAGACAAATTTTATGATTTTTATTACAAATTTATGATTTTTATTAAAATTTGAACATAAATTATTGTAAAACATTACAAACTCCCAATTCAAATGATTGAATAACAAAAATAAAAAGTTTTTTTATACTAGCAATCTAAAAATAATCGGGGTATGTAAGATTAGGCGGGGAATAATCGGATTAGGCGGGAAGTAATCGGATTAGGCGGAGAGTAATCGGGTGACTGATTTTTTTAAGGGATTAGTCATTAATCGAGGCGGATAGGGTGGGCCTAGCGATTAAGCGGGGAGTAATCGGGTCTAGGCGGAGATTTTTAGAACAGGGGATCTACCAAATCACATAGATGTCACACACCGGATTTGCGCTCTGATTTCTTAAAAAAGTTCGACAAATGAACCACTAAACTCAAAATTTTGGCTTCCATGCATGCATATTAAGATTTTTTATTATTATTATTATGGAAACTACAATACGGTGTGATAAATTCTATAATCATTTGGATCTAACATTTATTTAAGTATTAAAACTAAAAATTTCTAAAATTTCATAATATCTGATGCAGATCCATGTTAACCAAAAAATAAGTTGATGCATCAAATTAAAATCTTCTCGTAAGCGATGGTGATTGCTGTTGTAAAAAAAAAAGAGATGAATGCAAGAGGAGTTTTTCAGATCACCATGAATCAAGACTAATTCGACAAGACATCATACAATGCTCAATCTCGCATCTTGTTGATTCTTGACCTAAGAACATTAAACAAAAGCTTATTGGTTTCAAGTGAAAAGTCGGCAAACTATTCCAAGCTATTAACACCAGCAAAACAAAAATGAGGAAAATTTCTTTAAATGAGATTTATGAGGTCAAAAAAAAAAAAAAGATTTATGAGGTCATATCAGGTGCAAAGTATGGAGTAATTAAAGATTCGTTAAATTAGTTATGGGAAAACAATTAAAAGTGATGAAAGATATTTAAGGGTATAAGAAAATAATTAAAAGTACAATTATAATCATCGATCAGAATTTTCCGATTTTTCTCCGACTCGTTGGAAAGGTGCATAAGGAGTGCCATGCATGTGGTTCTACCCTAAATGTATAGATTCATCTTGCGAATGTTAGCTTATTCCATTTTCATTGTGAGATATTATTAAATTAAGAATGGAACACGAACACTCAAAACTTGAAATGTAAAATTGTCCTTTAACAAGAAAAAAAAATAATAACTAAAAAATGTAAATCCTCGTTGGATTGTCTTTCCTGAACCTAAAAATGTGCTTTGGGTTAATGGTATGGAGCAATAGCGGATCCAGAATTATTTTTTACCCAGGTCAAACATAGCTAAAAAAACAAATTTGTCAAGCCAAATGTATTTTTCTCTCATAACAATAAGTAAAATATTGAAATTTAGGGAGGTCACATAACCCTCGTTTCTTGCACGTAGGTCCGCCAGTGGTATGGAGTATGGACTCTGTTTTTTTTTTTTTGTTAATCACTGAGGTTTTAACGAATTCTTAATTTCAGAAACTGTTGCATTAACTATTTTTAGTTGACTACTTAAGGTGAACATAATATTAATGGGTTTGGTTAAGATTTTAGATTAATGATGATGGATAGGTTTCGTCTTCGATCTGACTTTTCCTCTTATTTCTCAACTTTTTAGTATTTTATATTATGCACCTAATTAGCTGCGCATGCATGCGTTTAAGATTTAAGTACTTGATACTGGAGAAAAACACTTTTAACTATTTCATAAACCTTTTAGAGTCATCGCCAAAAGGGTCGGTTATAAAAAACTAGTATTTTTATTTTTTTTAAACTAGTAATTAAAATGAAATTTTAATCACAATGCTACAAAAGAAAAAATATCCATAACTTCTTTTGCTTTTCCGTACTATGACAAAGCTAATTAAGGTGCACTCATCATTATTCATGCTCAAAATAATTTAGAGTTTGAAATTTTATGTAAGGAAAGATTCAAAAATCAAATGGCTTATTCAATTTTTACTTGTTAAAATAATTGAATTTGTGAAGAATACACCTACACAGTTTGTTTTTATAAAGAGTACCTAACAATAAAGAGTATATTTTTCTTTTATTTTTTCCATTTTTGTTGCATTTAAGAGTATTTAATTCAAGATAATTGTAATGTTTGTTTACTAGTCACTACCCGTTCAAACGAATAGTAGATTGGGGAATATGAAAGATCGATAAACATGTTTATTGATTTTATTAAAATAGTGACTTACACATGGAAAATGGGTAAATAGATGTAAATTTATATGCAACTTTTAAATATATTTGATATTTTATGACCATTTGTATTCTGCAGTTTTTTATATTATTGATTGAATTTTCTTAAATTAAATATTAAATGATAGTTTTTATTTATTTTTATTTTTCTTAAAGTATAAACTTTTAACTAAAACATTCTATAATATGAAATAAAGGGAGTAATATTATAATTTGATTATGTGGTCGGTTTATAAATACATAATAGTATATAAAAAATTAATAAAAAGTATAGATTGGTGATTAAAAAGAAAAGGTAGCTACGAGATTTGCATATTATGTTTTTTTTTTTCCTTTAGAGATATTTCAAATTTAATTTCACTGTTTTCTTAAATTTGATTTCACTTTTTTTACTGATCAAATGATTAGCATACACCCTCAAAATTAAGAAAAAGCCACTAAACCCTAAAATTTAAGATTTTTTTTTGACGAATGTGGTTTAATATTAGGAGGCCAAAACTAACGAAACGTAGTCGTTTTGGTTTCAATATTAGTACTCACGCGAATTCAGCAGCGCGTGATTGTCAATTCCTAAATATCTTCAGATCACAGCCCTGAAAATTTCTCTTCCCGACAGAGAGAGAGAAGCAGATCGTATCATCATCACGAGACGGCCATCACAATAACAGAGAAGGAGAGAGAGAGAGAGAGAGAGAGAGGATGTCTGGTGTGGTTGCTCTTGGTCATGCGAGCTCGTGGGGCGCAGCGCTGGTAAGGATCTCGCCGTATACTTTCTCCGCAATCGGAATCGCCATCTCGATCGGCGTCTCAGTCCTCGGTGCCGCCTGGTAAATCCAATCTTCTTCTTCTTCGTCCCCGCAGATTAAAGCATTGACTTTTTTGATTTGTGAAGCATCATCTTTTTTTGGTTTGTCTTATTAAAGGGGAATTTACATTACGGGAAGTAGTTTGATCGGTGCGGCTATAGAAGCTCCTCGTATCACTTCCAAGAATCTCATCAGGTTCGTTAAAAGTTCAAGCTTTTTTAATTCTAGTTTTGTTCATTTGGTTGATCAATTGGTGGCCATTTTAGGGAACTGTGTAGATTCGATGTCTTGTTCTGAATAGCAATGAGAATCCATCGCTGAGTAGCTTAATTCATATTCGTTCCTGGATATTTCGATGCCACATCTCTGCAAGATGAATAAGTTGTTGACCTGGGATTCAGGATGTAGAAATTTAGAATCTCAAGGTCTCTTCTGGTTGGTAGGGCTAGTAATTTTGGTGTGTGGCTTTGGGGATTCAAGCAATGGATGCTATGATAAATAAGTGCTCTTTTGTCTTTCCACGTATTTCAGCAGAAACATATATACCAATCGAGATATCTAAATGTCAAATGAGGGGATATACATTTAAAGTCTGTGTTAACCTAATTTGTGATGCCTCCGTGCTTGGACTCTACTGGGTAGAATAACTAAACCACTCAACATGCCATTACCGTTAGTTATACCTCATGGGTCTACTGGGTAGAATTAAGGAATGCTTAACAAGGAGTAGCTGTGTATGAAATTTGTTGTTACAGAGCTACAGACTTGGAGTTAGATGCTCTGCAACATCAATGTCAACAGTGTCATTACCACACACCATTACTGAACCATATTGAGCATTTGGCTGTGTAGAGCAGTACTTAGAAATGCTTAAGCAGGAGTAGTTGTTTTGCATTCTAATTTTTTGTTAACAGAGCTTTAAGGCTCAAGATTAGATGCAAAAGGTATGCAATGACAAGCATTTCTTGTTCTCTTAAACTATCCCAGTGTCATCTTTTGCGAAGCTGTAGCTATATATGGTGTTATTGTTGCAATCATACTGCAAACAAAGTTGGAGAGTGTCCCATCTTCAAAGATGTATGACGCTGAGTCTCTTAGAGCTGGATATGCAATCTTCGCATCTGGAATCATAGTTGGATTCGCCAACCTTGTATGCGGGTCTGTATCTTCCCTTTTCTCCTTCCTTACAGTTTTGGTTTTTGGATTACATTGTCAGATATGCAACGGAGGTCTACATTTCCCTTGTAGGTTATGTGTAGGAATCATTGGAAGCAGTTGTGCATTGTCTGATGCTCAAAACTCGACACTCTTTGTAAAGATTCTTGTGATTGAGATCTTCGGGAGTGCTCTCGGGTTGTTTGGAGTTATTGTGGGAATCATTATGTCTGCACAAGCGACATGGCCAACGAAATAGATATATCCGGTCTGTATATGTTGTGGTCTACTTGCAAATCTGGAAAAAACACATGGCTTCTTGAATATCTTCATTGTTATATGGATACTGATGTCTAGAAGAAAATCATGTGCGAAAACTGAGAACCACTTTTGGATTTTTAATTTTTTGTATTTGTTTAAAACTTTGGAACAAGTCACTTTGGAGAACATCTTCATGTTTGTATTCATTCTCTTTGGTTTCTCTTATAATCAAAGACAAGAGTTTGTATATGATTTGTTTTTGGTTCATAACTGAAATTGAAATTGTCATTTTATCAATCTGTTTCTTCTATATAGTTGTGCAACCTGTTTGGGTACACTGCACACAAACATACCAACTAAACCAATAAAAAAAATTCAATCTATACAACAAATTGCATACTAAGCAGGACCGGTTTATCCTACACCAAACATTGAACTAGACGACGTCGTTTCAAGTATGATATTTCGGTGGCTGTCCCGTTTCTGGAACCTGGAGCTTTTTGTTGTGTGTTGTGTGTCCCGTAAAACCCTAAACATAGTCACTTTATCGTCTCTCCTCCACCAAATCCTTCAATCTCCGTCTTCCTTCTTCTACCTTTCCGGTGAGTGTTACTCTGTTTTCGTTTCCTCGCATGTCTTTTACTGGGTTTTTAGTTTCCGGACGATTTTTCTTTCAAAATCCGTTTTTGAATGCGAATTCACTCTGCTGTGTCTAATATTTGGTAATTTGAGGTATGGTTTCGATTTTCGATAGTTAGGAGCTGATAATATGCGCCACTGCTTTCTCTGTCTCGGATTTTACACGACGTCGGTGTCTGATTTTCTTCAATTTGTTTAGATATCTAGCTGAGTAAAATTACTGGTCTCTCTGTTTATTGCGTTCATGTGACATTTGGAGTAGAGAGAAAGAATGCAAGCTTGTTGTGGTGGTACTTCGATGGCTTCTCTTCAGCAACCTGGACGGGTTCAAGGATCTGTCTTTCCCCCACTAATGCCTCCAGTGACCAAATTTTCTCAGCAATTGAAGTTCAATTTTTCAAAACCTTTCCGTTCTTCTTTTCTGGAAAGAAACTTGGTCTTTGAAAGGAGAGCATCTTCAGTCTCGCTACCTAATGTCGAGATGAGCAGTAAGAGAGTTTAATTTTCATTTCCTTGATTATGTTGATAATGTGAAAGACATTGTTACTTATTCCATGCGTGGTTTTGATTTCTTCACTTTGTAATGACTGATATTTAGGCAATGAGATCGCTTTTGCGGACTATGGTCTTGGTGAAGTTGATCCAGAGGTCCGAACGATCATCACAAAGGAGAAAGATAGACAATTCAGGAGCTTGGAGCTTATTGCGTCTGAGAATTTCACGTCTCGAGCAGTTATGGAGGCGGTTGGATCATGCCTTACCAACAAGTATTCTGAGGGACTGCCTGGTAAAAGGTAATGAAGTATGTAAGATTGATTTTTGTGGCGCACTTTTGTCTCATCAGCTAGATTTCATAGTTTTTCTCTTGTCCATGTCTCACAGATATTATGGTGGCAATGAGTACATCGATCAGTTGGAGACACTTTGCCAAAACCGGGCTTTAGCAGCCTTCCGCTTAGATTCTACGAAATGGGGGGTTAATGTTCAGCCGTTATCTGGTTCACCTGCAAACTTTGCTGTCTACACTGCGATACTTAGCCCTCATGATCGGATCATGGTTAAGATCTGTTGCACTTTTCACCTCATCTTTTCTTGTGTGCTTGAGATATTGAATATAATGGCTTGTTTTATATATTTAGGGTTTGGATTTACCTCACGGTGGTCATCTGTCGCATGGGTTCATGACTGCTAAAAGGCGTGTATCTGGAACTTCAATATACTTTGAGTCCATGCCTTATCGACTTGATGAATCAACAGGTGGTGCATTTCTTATGAAAAGTGTCTCTGCAACTACTTTTGTATGAGGCTATTTCCTGATGTCTGAAAATAATTGAACAGGCATTGTTGACTACGATATGCTAGAGAAAACTGCTACACTCTTCAGACCAAAGCTTATTATCGCAGGAGCTAGTGCGTACAGCCGAGATTTTGACTATCCTCGCTTGAGGAAGGTAGAAACACAACCTGATCCTTGAAAATACCTTTCATGTTTTCTGTCTACCTTTGGCTTTCAATATAATCTGATATTCATTTTCCTCACAATTTGTTTGAATTTCTGAAGATCGCAGACTCAATTGGTGCTTTTCTGATGATGGATATGGCTCATATCAGCGGGCTTGTGGCTGCTTCTGTGGTAGCTGACCCTTTTGAGTATTGTGATATTGTTACAACAACAACTCACAAGGTATGTCTGTTCTGAAATCTGAAACAGAATTTCCATTTGTATTTAGACAAAAAAAGCGTTTCCAAATGAACCCATTGTCTGATAGTAGTAATACACTTTTTCTTACTAGTCTTTGAGAGGTCCGAGAGGTGGCATGATCTTCTTCAGGAAGGATCCAATTAATGGGGTTGATCTTGAATCTGCCGTAAACAATGCTGTCTTCCCTGGTTTGCAGGTTGAGATATTCACCATTGCTTCTAGCTCTCTTAGATAATTCTTCTTCCAACGTGATTAAAATTTGTCTGTGTTGTATATTTGTAGGGTGGCCCTCATAACCACACAATTGGAGGATTAGCAGTCTGCTTGAAACACGCACAATCACTGGAATTCAAGGCTTACCAGAAAAGAGTACCCACCCTTTTACTTGATCATTAAGTTCTTCTGCACCGGGTAAAGTTAGTAAATTTTACTTTAACAACAATCTTTTGCTGCTTGGTTAGGTTGTGTCCAACTGTAGAGCTCTAGCTAACCGATTGGTTGAACTCGGGTTTAAGCTGGTTTCTGGTGGCAGCGATAACCACTTGGTTCTCGTTGATCTTAGACCCATGGTAAGTTAACAAATTGTGTAAGTTTTCAATTGATTTTTTTCTCAAACCACTTATCATAATGCGGTATCAATCTGACATTTTTGTTGTGGTTAGGGCATGGATGGTGCTCGGGTTGAGAAAATCTTAGACATGGCATCTATTACTCTTAACAAGAACTCTGTCCCTGGTGAGTTTCCTACTTTATTCTCGGTTTTCTTTTCCAATTTGAAAAAGTCAATTCCGAGAGAAGCCTTTTTAGTCTTTTACGATACAGAAATGAAGTCGATAAGCAGAAGTTGTAGAACACAACTGTTAAAGAAATGCTTGATTGTTATAGCAAAAATCAATTGATATGTGTGTTTGATTTCCCTAAGAGTAGTGAAATTGAGAGAGTGTTGTATGTGTAATGGTGAAACAGGGGATAAAAGTGCGTTGGTTCCAGGAGGAATAAGGATAGGGTCGCCTGCGATGACGACAAGAGGACTGTCAGAGAAAGACTTTGTAGCAGTCGCTGACTTCATCAAGGAAGGTGTGGAGATAACAATGGAAGCCAAGAAAGCTACGCCGGGTTCAAAGCTGCAAGATTTCACCAAGTTCGTGACTTCTCCTGACTTTCCATTAATAGAGAAAGTGAAGAGTCTCAAGGAAAGAGTGGAATCCTTCACCTCTCATTTTCCCATTCCTGGCGTTTAAACTATGCTTTTCATTTTAGGGTTTTTTCTTGCTTGTGTCCCAAGTTTAATGCCACATTTGAATCGACATAAAATCCAAAAAAAAACTATTTTAAAGAAATAAATTTATTATTATCGTTTGTGGAAGAAAGATTGTTATTTATTCTCGAGAAAAAAAGGAAAAATGTAACTTTGAAATTAGTATATAATCAAATTGATGTGAAAGGAAAAATAAAAAAATAAAATTTTTGAAAAATTGTGTTTTAGCGTGGAGAGCAAATATATCGCGGGATGTGGCGAATATATCTCACCCAATCTCTGTGTCTCTCTCTTTCATGCGTTTTTTTGTTGCCCTCTCGAAAAATATTTGATCTCTCACCTCTGCATCCTCAGGCGCAGACTCTCGAGAGATCCAAATTCAACGATAACAGATTTTTTTTTTTATCTGCTTTTTTTTTTTCTTCTCCCTCCCCCACCGGAATATATCTCACCGGAATCGGATCTCTCACGTTGGTCGAGTTTTCTATTACGGCGGCGGCCATCGCTTTCTTCTTCTCCTCCAGGTGCGATCTTAGTTTCGTCCTTCAGATTTTGGTGCATGTGATTGATTTCAGTTGGTGTTTTCTCGTTTGTTTGATAAGAAAACAAACGATGATTTTAGGAAAGAAACGTTTTGTTTAATCAGACATTGCCATGCGTTTTTATAAACTGTTTGGTTGATTTGGAAACTCAAGTTTTTTGAGAAAGTTTGGCTTTGATTTAGAGAATCATTTGTTGATTTGAAGTTTTGTTGCATGCATGAATCCACACAGGCCTTCATTGGTATTGCTGATTCCCTGAAGGTCGGCAGCTATGGAGGGAGTTAAATTCCCATTTGGTGGGATTATTAACGATTTCAACGGAAGAAGAAAGTGTTACAAACAAGACTGGCTTGCTGCCTTCAATTCTGGTGTTAGGTATCATCATGTCTCCTTGCTTATTTCATCAACTTGGCATTTCAATGCAAACTACTTATGCTATGTAACTATGGATTTCAGGATACTGGCTCCAACTCTGTATATTTTCATTGCCTCTGCACTACCTGTGATTGCTTTCGGCGAGCAGTTAAGCAGAGAGACAGGTGAGAGAGCTACCGCAAAAGTATATGAATTAGAGTTGTGTTTCTTGCAGAGAAACTTGTCTGATGGGTTTATCTCTCTCTCTCTCTCTCTCTCTCTCTTGCTTTAGATCGCAGTCTTGGCATAGCGGAATCATTAGCTTCCACAGCTATTTGTGGAATTATTCATTCAATTTTTGGTGGACAACCTCTCTTGATAGTAGGGGTTGCAGAACCCACTATCATTATGTATACATATCTTCACAGCTTCAGCAAAGGCAGACCTGAATTGGGTCAGAAACTCTACTTAGCTTGGGCTGGATGGTATGTGCATTTCTTATTTTCCTTTCTCTTGTTTTTGTTAATTCCTCTTTTCATTGACATTGAAACTCTTTGTTTTTTATTTTTGTAACAGGGTCTGTGTCTGGACAGCAATTTTGCTTATGCTTCTTGCTATGCTAAACGCATGCAACATCATTTCTAGGTTTACAAGAATTGCAGGAGAGCTCTTTGGAATGCTGATCACTGTTCTTTTTATCCAAGAGGCTGTTAAGGTTCTGATGGGTAATTCCATGGTTTTTAGTCATACAAAAGTCTTTTAAACATAAAAA